CCCTTCCCTTCCCTTCCCTTCCCTTCCCTTCCCTTCCCTTCCCTTCCTTCTCTTCCCTTCCTTCTGCCGCTCTCCCTCCCTCTCTTTCTTTCCTTTCCTAGACAATTTCTCTATGAAACCTTTATGTTTGTTAACAGTTTACCTTTGTGAAGTTAGACGAAAAAATGGATCACCTCAGTGAGTAGTTAAACTCTTGGGGCTTCTGAGGACTGTCTCCCATGGTCAAGTACAATCTATAGTCTTTCAGTCATAATCTACAAACAAAGCAAAATTTTTCTGAACAAATGTTTCACATTATTTTAACAGATCAGAACAAGGAATGGCTTTATTGAGACATATTTAAGGGAAATTGAAACTAAGGTTAGTTTTTATATGCTAGGAATTAGAGTTCAGTAGGAAAAAAAACTAAGGTGTTTTCAAAAATTTTTTAAAGTATATTTTTGAGCAGGGGTCATTTTTGGATATAAATTCAATACCCCAACAGGAGAGGCCTCTCCAAACAGGTTCCAGATGCTAATGTCATTGTCTATTAAGTTAATAGACTATGAAAAAATACTTATTTTTAAACATGTATTTTTGGAAGTCCTCTCAATTTTACCCAAAGTGGAAAATCAAAATTCTTCTAAAGGTCTGTGGGGCCTGACATGATTTAATTCTTGACTCCTCTGGCCTAAGCATCGTTTACTCTTCTCTGCCCTCATTCGCCTCCAGTCTCACTGGCCCCCTGGCTGCTTCTCAACCTGTCGGCTCATTCTTGCCTTTGGGCTCTTGTACTGGCTATTCCTTTTGCCTGGAATATCCCCAGAAATCTACTTGGCCAGTTTCTTCACTTCCTTCACGTTTTTGGTCAGATGTTATCTTATGAATGAGGCCTTCTGGAAACACTGTAATTAGAGTTGCAGTTGACCCTCTCCTTATCCTGTTACCATCTGTTTTCATCTGCTCTCCCCCTCATTCTACTTAATAACTTCCAACCCCCTATTTAATTCAATGTATTATGTTTATGTTAGTTTTCTGCCTCTTCCCCATTACAATGAAGAATCTGTGAGGACAGGGATCTTTCTCCGTTTTGCTCAAATGTCTGGAATAGTACCTGGCCCATAGAAGGTACTAAAAAATCTTGTTGAATAAAGAGGTTAAAGGCTGGGGCTTATATTAATTTGTTCAACAATTCAACAAACATTTAGTAAATGCTTATTGTCTGCTAGTCACTCTGCTAGATAAAAGAATCCAGAGGGGAGTCTTATTTTGGAGAGAGAAAAATGAATGGAAAACAACAACAACAACAACAAAAAACATGTACTATGTACAATATAGGGTTGAACACAGGGCATTCTGGGAGGACATAAGGTGGTGCGTAACCCAGTACAGGCAGGGTCATAAAGGATTCATTAATTTTATTTACTCAACAATTAATAGTTCCTATGTGCTAATTATGCTTCCAGGCACTTTAAAAGAGGGCAGGTCCAACCAGCATGTGTTCTTTGCCCTTTGCCCTTTCCCCTACTTCCCTCTGTCTGAGCAGCCATCTTGCTACCATGTGGTTTTGAAAGGGCAAATGCCAGAAGCCAAGGCTAGCTGAACAGAAATATAGAAAGCTCTGAGTTCCTGATGAAATCATGAAGTCACAGTTCCAGCCTGATTGGCTGATCTCCAGATTTCTTGTACGTGAGGAAAAAAAAGATCAGACTTTTACCACCATGACTTGACTTACCACCTTTGAGAGGTATTGTTTGGCACCCAACAGTAAAAGGAAGGAAATCAGCATATCTTAAATTATCTGCACTCATCTCTGTCCAGTTTTAGTTAGTTGGAGCATCATTTCTGGATGATTGGAATATGAAGGGTTAGAGAAGGAATACGAGTTTTAGCCTTTTCGAAGGCTAAAACTCTCATGTTCCAGATAGAGATGAGGCAATGAAAAGCCTCCCCAGTTTTTTTTTAGAATTGCTTCTTCCAGCAATTGTGCATGTAGGCTTTTTTCCACAAAGTCAGCAAGGGGCAGCCGAGTGGAGTGACAGAGATTTCATTCAGCTTTTTAAGGCAAGGCCTCTAGTCTCTTGTACAGCAAAAGCACAAAGCAGTTATCCTACATAGAAGGCTCTTTGTGTGTTTGGGACTATTTTATTGTATTTATTTTTAGAGACAGGATCTGGCCCTGTCACTCAGACTGGAGTGCAGTGGCATGATCACAGCTCACTATAGCCTTGCACGCCTGGGCTCAAGGGATCCTCCTGCCTCAGTCTTCTGAGTAGCTAGGATTACAGGCACGTGCCACCATTCCTTGTTAATTTTTCTTTTTTTGTAGACTTGTGTAGATATGGTTTTGATTGTTGCCCAGGCTGATCTTGAACTCCTGGCCATAAGTGATCCTCCTGCTTCCTTCATCTCCCGAAGTTCTGGGACTACAGGCATGAGCAACCACACCAAGGTAGGACTAGTCTAGATTCTAGTACAACATCAACCCATGTACCCCACAAAGGCTCTGCTGATATCTATTTTCCCTTGTAGAGTTTCATCTGCATAGTCTAAAACCCCACTCTCTGCCTATGCCTGAATGTGGCTAATGTTTCCAGAAAAGAAAATGTCAGTGATCTAAGCCCACCTATGAAGGGATCTTCCCTTTTTGAATTTTAATTCAGCTAATTTGCTTTGCTTTTCTAGCTGTCTGATGTCCTCAACAATATGACATTTTGGTAATTACTTTGTTTTAATTTTCCAAGTCCTACCACTTCCTCTTATATCCTTACCAGAGACAGTATTCTGAACTCATAGATTTAGTGAAAGTTTGGATATATTCTGGGATTCTAAACTGAAGTGATTTTCTCTTGAGCCCCTGGAAGAAGAATATGCAGGCAGCACTCTGTTGTAGCTCTGACAGGCAATAGTGCCTTTACAATTATACTGTTATTTTGAAAAAAGCACTGCTTACTGTTTTCATATTACTTGCAGTGTTTTTTAAAAAATGTGGAAACAATACAGTCATGCTTAAATAGAACAAATTTAAAAAAGAAGGCAAGCAAAGATTATAGAAAAGTCAGCCCAAGTGTCATGTTGAGCTTACCTTTCCGTCCACATGCTAAGGACCCAAGTCACAAGTGTCTGGCTATTACAATTCACTTTTTTCTTATACGCCCCTACCAGGTCCAGAGAAAATGGATCATATTGAGCAGTCTGACTAGGAAGATGATAGAACTTCATCTTTAGAGCAATCTTATGAGGTATACACAATTACTCATATCTTAGATAAGGAAATGGAGGCTCCAAGGGATAAAGAAACTTACTTAAGATCATATAGCAAATACACGGTGGTTAATAGAGAACAGAGAATTTTCCTCACCCATGCTCAGGCTCTGTCTGCTTTTGTTTCTCTGAGCCGCAGTATAGCCCTGTCTTGAGAAACTGTCTTTCTTCCCTTTGCTAGTGGTCTAATCCATTGTGTCTGCTCCTAGCTCTGACTTCATCCTCCCAACTCTCTGAAGGCCTGGTTGTGCCTTCCCTCCTGCAAGGCCTTATTGGAGGAAAAAGTCTCCATTTCCCTTAGTTCCACTTTCATTTTGTACCCTTTTCCCCTTTAAAGGAAAACAAAACAAGCAAGTAGAAAAAAATCACCATTAACATTTCAAGAATAAAAGAAACCAAAATCTCCTATCTAAAGCATTTTTTTTTCATTTTTGTTGTGCGTGATAGGACATTTTATATTCCAGTGGTTAAGATTTATCTTTTAATCTGTACAGTTTTAGGTTTTCATATCTTGTGGCTCTGCCTCTAATTTTCTTTTTGATTATGACAAATGGGACACATAGATACACGCATGCTCTATTCTCTCTTTTGGAGTTTTGCCACCTCAAGTCATTCAAAACAGAAAGATGGATATCTCTAATAGGAACTATATTGATTAGAGTGCTATGATATCCTGGGTTTGTAATGTAATAAAAAATGAGCCTTGATTCACTCTATAAAATAGGGAAAATATTACCTGACCCTTTTTTTCCCTCAGTGATAAAATTAGGAGAAATGGTATCTGTGTGGAATTCAACTTTTAAGAGGAACATTTTATGAAAATAGCCTAAGTTGCTAGAATGTGCTATTTATGCATATGCTTATTAAATATATATTTATACAATATTTATATATATTATTTATGTTTCAGCTTCTTTTAAAAAATAAAACCAAAACTTTCCAGAGTTAGATATACTAGTGCTTGTACATTAGTTCCGTTCTTCCTCCAACTGTGCAAAAACTCTTCATACTGCTTTATATTGAAGACGATAAAGAGAAATGATGTCCTGTGGGTTGACCAGAAGCCAACTCAGAGAAAGAGATTTGTGTGCAGTAAGTTTCTTGGGCATGCATTTTGGGTTCAATACCTGTGGGGGACGAAGGTCAGTGAAATAGGGCAGAGAGAGAGATTGGGCTGAGCTGCAGTCACAACGAAGGCCTCAGTCACTCCTGTGGTCATCATCATACCTAGGCCTGCCCTTCAGACTTTATCCACCTCGAATCAAGGGGATTGAGCCTTTAAATCATGTGCTGACTGGTTATGGGATGCAAGCTGCCCCAACAAAGGTGCTGGGACCTTAGGAGAGGTAGGTCCCTTCAGCTGTGCTTAGCTAAGAGGTGTTGGTTGGCAACACTTTCAGCAACCAGGGAATGAATGCTGCAGTCCTGAAGTGGGGGAATCTGGGTGGCACAGCAGAGCAATCACTACGATTAAGACATTAATCAACAGTGCAGATTATATTCTTCATTATGTTTATATTTATATCTATTAGATGACTCATGAAATTGTCTTTTTTTTTTTTTTTTTTTTTTTTTTTGAGGTAGTGTCTCGCTCTGTCACCCAGGCTGGAGTGCAATGCCATGATCTCGGCTCACTGCAACCTCCGCCTCCTGGGTTCAAGCGATTCTCCTGTCTCAGCCTCCTGAGTAGGTGGGATTACAGGCATGCTATCAAGCCCGGCTGATATTCTTTTGTATTTTCAGTAGAGACGGGGTTTCACCATGTTGATTAGGCTGGTCTCAAACTCCTGACATTGTGATCCGCCTGCCTTGGCCTCCCAAAGTGCTGGGATTACAGGCGTGAGCCACTGTGCCCAGCCGGAATTGCCAATTTTATAGTAAAAATTTGTTGAATATTGACAATTTATATGGTACACAATCTAATTATGTAATTTATTTTCAGGAGTTTGTGTGAAAGCATACAGCAATAGAAAAATAATTAGTGGGTATAGAGTGTAGGAGCAGATAGAATAGTTGGTTTTACCAGTTTCTATTGATGCTACTATAGAGCAGTCCATATTTCCAAAAATAAATTTTATCTTTTTAAAGAAGAAGCTTTGAGTTTTCTTGATTTTATATTTCCTATTTTATTGATTTCTGCTCTGATTTTTATTTCATTTTTTCTGCTAACTTTAGGTTTTATTTGCTTTTCTGTTTCTGCTTTCTTGAGGTGAAAGTTGAGATAATTGAATTAAGACATTTCTTATTTTCTAGCACAGATGTTTAGTGCTATGAATTCCCTTTTAAGTACTACTTAAGCAGCATCCCATAAGTTTTGATATGTTGTGTTTTCATTTTTACTCAGTTCAAAATACACCTTAACTTCTTTTTGATTTCTTCGACCCATAGATTATTTAGTAATGTGTTATTTAGTTTCCAAATACTTGGAGTTTTTTCAAAGATCTTTTTGTTTCTGAGTTTTAATTTAATCCTATTATGCTTTGAGAACATACTGTGTATGGCTTGGATCTTAATACGTTTACAATGTATTGAGACACTTTATGGCCCAAAATATGTTCTATTTTCATAAATGATCTATGTGCACTTGGAAGGAGTGGGCAGGCCTATCTTGTCTAATTGCACTTCACTTTATTCCACTTCATAGACAGTGTAGTTTTTACAAACTGAAGGTTTGTGGCAACCCTGCATTGAGCAAGTGTATCTGCACCTTTTTCAAACTGCATGTGTTTACTTCATGTCTCTGTGTCCTGTTTCAGTAATGCTCAAAATATTTTAACATTTTCATTATTATTATATCTGTTATGGTGATCTGTGACCAGTGATGTTTGATTTTACCATCATCATTGTTTTGGAATGCTACTAACCTCACCCACATCAGATAGTGAACTTAACTGATAAATGCTGTTTGTGTTCTGGCTGCTGTACTGCTGGCCATTCCCCATCCCTCTCTCTCTCTCTAGGTCTTCCTATTCCTGATACAAAACAGTGTTAAAATTAGGCCAGTTAATAACCTCAAAATGGTCTCTAAATATTCAACTGAAAGGAAGAGTCACATGAGTCTCACCTTAAATTAAAAGCTAGAAACGACTGGGCTTAGTGAGGAAGGAATCATAAGATGCAGCAATTCAGTCATATTTTCAGGCTCCAATTCTATTTCTAGTTCTCTTGCTATTTGCACCACATCCGCAGTGACTCAACTTCTTCCAAATGCCTGTTATTACTGATCTTTTGACCTCCTCTCATGAATCACAAATGTTCTCAATGGCATCTGGAATGGTGAATCCTTTCCACAAGGTTTTCAATTTACTTTGCTCAGATCCACCAGAGGAATCACTGTCTGAGATCCAGAGGAATCACTTTTAGCTGAGATAAGCTGAAAGCTAGGCCTCTTGCACCAGTGAGTTAAGTTATAAATGCAAAGAAAATTTCTTGAAGGAAATTAAAAGTGCTACTCCAGTAAACACACAAATGATAAGAAGGCAAACCAGCCTCATTGCTGATGTGGAGAAAGTTTTGGTGGCCTGGAGAGAAGATCAAAGCAGCCACATTTCTTTAAACCAAAGCCTAATCAAGATCAAGGCCCTAACTCTTCAAATCTATGAAGGCAGAGAGGTGCAGCTACAGAGGAAAAGTTGGAACCTAGCAGAGGTTGGTTCATGATGTTTAAGGAAAGAAGCCATTTCTATAACAGAAAAGTGCAAGGTGAAGCAGCAAGTGCTAGTGTAAAACCTTCAGCAAGCTATCTAGAGGATCTAGTGAAGATCATCTAGGAGAATGGCTACACTAAATAATAGGTATTCAGCGTAGACAGAACAGCCTCATATTGGAAGAAGATGCCATCTAGGACTTTCCTACCTCAAGAGGGTAAGTCAATGCCTGGCTTCAAAACTTCAAAGGACAGGCTGACTCTTTTGTCAGGGACTAATGCAGATGGTGACTAAGTTAAAGCCAATGCTCATTTACCATTTTGAAAACCCTAGGGCTCTTAAGAATTATACTAAATGTAGCCGGGCGCGGTGGCTCACGCCTGTAATCCCAGCACTTTGGGAGGCCGAGGCGGGCGGATCACAAGGTCAGGAGATCGAGACCATGGTGAAACCCCGTCTCTACTAAAAAATAGAAAAAAATTAGCCGGGCGCAGTGGCGGGCGCCTGTAGTCCCAGCTACTCGGGAGGCTGAGGCAGGAGAATGGCGTGAACCCGGGAGGCGGAGCTTGCAGTGAGCTGAGATTGCGCCACTGCACTCCAGCCTGGGCGACAGAGTGAGACTCCGTCTCAAAAAAAAAAAAAAAAAAAAAAGAATTATACTAAATGTACTCTGACTGTGCTCTAGAAATGGAACAACAAAGCCTGGATGACAGTTCATCTGTTTGCAGCTTGGCTTACTGAATAATTTAAGCCAACCATTGAGACCTAGTGCTCAGAAAAAAGATTGTTATCAAAATATTACTGCTCCTTCACGACTTACCTAGTCACCCAAGAGCTCTAGTGGAGATGAACAAAGAGATTAATGTTGTTTGCATGCCTGCTAACACAACATTTAGTCTATACCCCATGGATCAAGAAGTAATTCCAACTTTCAAGTCTTATTATTTAAGAAATATATTTCACAGGACTATAGCTGCCAGAGATAGTGATTCCTCTGGTGGATCTGGACAAAGTAAATTGAAAACCTTGTGGGAAGGTTTCACCATTCTAGATGCCATTGAGAACATTTGTGATTCATAAGAGGAGGTTAAAATATCAGTAATAACAGGATTTTGGAAGAAGTTGAGTCACTGCAGAACTGGTGGAAATTCCAAGAGAACTAGAATTAGAATTGGAGCCTGAAGATGTGACTGAATTGCTCCATCTCATGATAAAACTTGAATGAACAAGGAGTTGCTTCTTATGGATGAGCAAAGAAAGTGGTTTCTTGAGATAGAATTTACTCCTAGTGAAGATGTTGTGAACAATGCTGAAATAACAACAAAGGATTTAGAATATAATGTAAGCGGCCGGGCGCGGTGGCTCAAGCCTGTAATCCCAGCACTTTGGGAGGCCGAGACGGGCAGATCACGAGGTCAGGAGATCGAGACCATCCTGGCTAACACAGTGTAGTCCCCGCTACTTGGGAGGCTGAGGCAGGAGAATGGCGTAAACCCGGGAGGTGGAGCTTGCAGTGAGCTGAGATCCGGCCACTGCACTCCAGCCCGGGCGACAGAGCAAGACTCCGTCTCAAAAAAAAAAAAAAAAAAAAAAAAAAAAAGAATATAACGTAAGCTTAGTTGATAAAGCAGGAGCAGGATTTGAGATGACTGATTTTACTTGCAAAAGAAATACTACAGTGATAAAATGCTATCAAACAGCATCGTGTGCTACAAGGAAATCTTTCATGAAAGGAAGAGTCAATCTGCAGCAAACTTCACTTTTGTCTTATTTTAAGAAATTGCTGCAGCCACCTCAACCTTTAGTAACCGCCACTCTGATCAGCCAGCAGTCATCAACATCAAGGCAGGACACTCCACCAGCAAAAAGATGATGACTCATCATTTGAAGGCTCAAATGATTGCTAGCATTTTTTAGCAATAAAGTCTTTAAATCAGAGTATGTACATTGCTTTTTAGATATAATGCCATCACACAGTTAATAGGGTCCAATACAGTATAAACTTAACTTTTGCAATGCACTGGAAAACAATAAATTTCGTGAGACTCTTTTTATTGGGAAACAATCTTTATTGTGATATTCTGGTACTGAACCTGCAATATCTCCGTGGCATGCATGTATAGCTACTGTTGTTACATGGAATGTTCTATAAATGACAACTCCAGTTAGTTGATAATGTTAAGTCTTGTATGTTTTACTAATTAATTATTTAATTACTCATCCAATTACTTAGAGAAGATATTGAAATTTCCAACTATAATTGTAAATTTGTATCTTACAGTTTTATCAGTTTTTGCCTCCTTTATCTTGAAGCTCTCTTATTAGTTGCATACACATTTTAATTTTAGTCCCTTTGGATGAAATTATCTCTATCATTATGAAATGACCTTCTTCATCCCTGTAATATTCTCTGCTCTGAAATCTGCTTTGCCTGACATTAATATAGCCAGAGCTGTTTTCTTTAGAGTGGTATTAATGTGATATTTTTTCCTGTATCATCTTATTTTTACCTATTTTGTGTATTTACGTTTAAAATGTGTTTCTTGCAGGCCTTATGTAGTTGGACCTACCTTTTTAGTACAATCCAATGAGCTCTGCTTTTTATCTGGGGTGCTTAGATCATTTATATTTAATTTAGTTATTAATATGGTTGTAGTGAAATCTACTATCTTGCTATTTGTTTTCTATTTGTCTCATCTATTTTTTGTTCTCTTTTTCTGGCTTATTTTGGATTAATTCTGCCTTTTTTATGATTTCAATATCACTTCTTTTGTTGGCTTCTTAGCTGTAATTCTTTTTTTAAAAAAAATAGTGTTGACTTTAGGGTTTATGGTTAACGTCTTTAACATATGAGAGTCTACCTTCAAGTGATATTATGTCACTT